TATTTCTTCAGACACAAAACTGTACCTACTATGGTCATCATCTTCTTCAACATTTCTACTAGCATTAGTAGCTGCTTCCCAAGGTTCTCCGTGAAATGTCCAATTCTTATAGCTTTGGTCAACTCCATTAAAGTATAAGTGATCCCTTATAATTCCAACCCCAAACAATTTTAAATTAACACATTTAACACATGGACAACGGATATGTGTGGTAGTTAGAAGATTTTCTACAGAAAAGTTCAAAAATGCTTCCACCCCTAACTCATATGCCTTTGATCTTCTATCCGAGTGCATCCATGACTTATCCATCTCCGACACTATACCCTATTATATATAATAAAGTGAAAAGACAAGCAATGACCATCACTATAGCAGATTATATAAAGTCTAATAGCAAGTAATATACAACAGAGACGACGGTTTTTAAACAAAAACAGACGTCTTTGACATATATAGACGACGGATTTTACGTCGTCTAATTATAACCACGACGGTAGTTAAATAACACCGTCGTGTATAAGTAATAAAAACGACGGTTTAAAGTAAAAACCGTCGTCGTATGCCTGAAAACGCGTCGATATCCAGTTCATTTTCAAGATCCCAAAACCCTATTAAGAACACAACGTTATAGACATGAAACCAAGCAAGAAACCAACATATACATGAAACCAACATATACTAAGCATGAAAACAATAAATCCATTCCCAATTCAACATAACAGAGAGTGATTAAAAGATCCGACAAAATGAAATCCATTCCATATTCAACATAACAGAGTGATCAAGAAAACATTAAACAGACAATCCATGAACCCATACCTCCAACAACATTATTAACAGATCGCAAAACATATACCTAAAACCCTTTAACAAAACAACGTAATATATCATTCAATGAATTTACAAGGGGAAGAGAGGGTTTGTACTTACAGGTTGGCAGAGCTCACAGATTATGACCAAATTGGATTTGACACAGCCTGGCCCAACTTTGAATTAGAGATGAAGTGAGAGAGCGAAATGTTATGTTGCGCGAAATCAGAAAATTTTAGGGTTCAGGGTTACAAGTATAAAAATAAGAGCCAAATCTGAAAATTTTAGGTCCCGCGAATATTTTAAGAAAGCGCGCTTTTTAAAACATCGACCGAAAAAACAAGCGTCGTTAAAATTTAACATTAAACATGACGCTTATTACATTAAGGACGTCGTGGTAAAACTATGTGCCACGCAAAATCAAAAAAGGCGTTAAAACTATGAAAAACCACGGCGGGTTAAGTAACTAACGACGTTGTAAATAATAATAAACGACTAAAAGGTAAACAAAACGTCGTTTAAAAAAGAAACCACGTCGGATTTTTCACCATACGACGTAAACTCAATATTCCACGACTCAATCACCGTCGTTAAAAGTAATACCCTAAACTTTAAAACCATAAATTATATATTTGTAAAATTTAATTTTATAAAATTGTTTATGGTTTTACATCCTAATAAATAACAAGCATAAACCCTAAACCCCAAAAATTATACTTTAACCATAAACCCTAATAAATAACAACCCTAAACCCCAAACCCTAAACCCTAAACCATCAAACTATATAAGTGATGCTATGACACATAACAACAATTTTATTTTGGTTGGTCATTTTAAACTTTTATTACACAAACTGCATTTTTTTGGGGTTTAGGGGGAAGAAAATATATCAATGACTTCATAGGAGTTGAAGTTGAATTTTTTGAATTTATTTTAAATTTATTTTTAAAATTTTGAATTAAAAATAATAAAATATTCTTATATCAACAACAAACCACGGCGGGTTAAGTAACTAACGACGTTGTAAATAATAATAAACGACTAAAAGGTAAACAAAACGTCGTTTAAAAAAGAAACCACGTCGGATTTTTCACCATACGACGTAAGCTCAATATTCCACGACTCAATCACCGTCGTTAAAAGTAATACCCTAAACTTTAAAACCATAAATTATATATTTGTAAAATTTAATTTTATAAAATTGTTTATGGTTTTACATCCTAATAAATAACAAGCATAAACCCTAAACCCCAAAAATTATACTCTAACCATAAACCCTAATAAATAACAACCCTAAACCCCAAACCCTAAACCCTAAACCATCAAACTATATAAGTGATGCTATGACACATAACAACAATTTTATTTTGGTTGGTCATTTTAAACTTTTATTACACAAACTGCATTTTTTTGGGGTTTAGGGGGAAGAAAATATATCAATGACTTCATAGGAGTTGAAGTTGAATTTTTTGAATTTATTTTAAATTTATTTTTAAAATTTTGAATTAAAAATAATAAAATATTCTTATATCAACAACAAACCACGGCGGGTTAAGTAACTAACGACGTTGTAAATAATAATAAACGACTAAAAGGTAAACAAAACGTCGTTTAAAAAAGAAACCACGTCGGATTTTTCACCATACGACGTAAGCTCAATATTCCACGACTCAATCACCGTCGTTAAAAGTAATACCCTAAACTTTAAAACCATAAATTATATATTTGTAAAATTTAATTTTATAAAATTGTTTATGGTTTTACATCCTAATAAATAACAAGCATAAACCCTAAACCCCAAAAATTATACTCTAACCATAAACCCTAATAAATAACAACCCTAAACCCCAAACCCTAAACCCTAAACCATCAAACTATATAAGTGATCATGCTATGACACATAACAACAATTTTATTTTGGTTGGTCATTTTAAACTTTTATTACACAAACTGCATTTTTTTGGGGTTTAGGGGGAAGAAAATATATCAATGACTTCATAGGAGTTGAAGTTGAATTTTTTGAATTTATTTTAAATTTATTTTTAAAATTTTGAATTAAAAATAATAAAATATTCTTATATCAACAACAAACCACGGCGGGTTAAGTAACTAACGACGTTGTAAATAATAATAAACGACTAAAAGGTAAACAAAACGTCGTTTAAAAAAGAAACCACGTCGGATTTTTCACCATACGACGTAAGCTCAATATTCCACGACTCAATCACCGTCGTTAAAAGTAATACCCTAAACTTTAAAACCATAAATTATATATTTGTAAAATTTAATTTTATAAAATTGTTTATGGTTTTACATCCTAATAAATAACAAGCATAAACCCTAAACCCCAAAAATTATACTCTAACCATAAACCCTAATAAATAACAACCCTAAACCCCAAACCCTAAACCCTAAACCATCAAACTATATAAGTGATCATGCTATGACACATAACAACAATTTTATTTTGGTTGGTCATTTTAAACTTTTATTACACAAACTGCATTTTTTTGGGGTTTAGGGGGAAGAAAATATATCAATGACTTCATAGGAGTTGAAGTTGAATTTTTTGAATTTATTTTAAATTTATTTTTAAAATTTTGAATTAAAAATAATAAAATATTCTTATATCAACAACAAACCACGGCGGGTTAAGTAACTAACGACGTTGTAAATAATAATAAACGACTAAAAGGTAAACAAAACGTCGTTTAAAAAAGAAACCACGTCGGATTTTTCACCATACGACGTAAGCTCAATATTCCACGACTCAATCACCGTCGTTAAAAGTAATACCCTAAACTTTAAAACCATAAATTATATATTTGTAAAATTTAATTTTATAAAATTGTTTATGGTTTTACATCCTAATAAATAACAAGCATAAACCCTAAACCCCAAAAATTATACTCTAACCATAAACCCTAATAAATAACAACCCTAAACCCCAAACCCTAAACCCTAAACCATCAAACTATATAAGTGATCATGCTATGACACATAACAACAATTTTATTTTGGTTGGTCATTTTAAACTTTATTACACAAACTGCATTTTTTTGGGGTTTAGGGGGAAGAAAATATATCAATGACTTCATAGGAGTTGAAGTTGAATTTTTTGAATTTATTTTAAATTTATTTTTAAAATTTTGAATTAAAAATAATAAAATATTCTTATATCAACAACAAACCACGGCGGGTTAAGTAACTAACGACGTTGTAAATAATAATAAACGACTAAAAGGTAAACAAAACGTCGTTTAAAAAAGAAACCACGTCGGATTTTTCACCATACGACGTAAGCTCAATATTCCACGACTCAATCACCGTCGTTAAAAGTAATACCCTAAACTTTAAAACCATAAATTATATATTTGTAAAATTTAATTTTATAAAATTGTTTATGGTTTTACATCCTAATAAATAACAAGCATAAACCCTAAACCCCAAAAATTATACTCTAACCATAAACCCTAATAAATAACAACCCTAAACCCCAAACCCTAAACCCTAAACCATCAAACTATATAAGTGATGCTATGACACATAACAACAATTTTATTTTGGTTGGTCATTTTAAACTTTTATTACACAAACTGCATTTTTTTGGGGTTTAGGGGGAAGAAAATATATCAATGACTTCATAGGAGTTGAAGTTGAATTTTTTGAATTTATTTTAAATTTATTTTTAAAATTTTGAATTAAAAATAATAAAATATTCTTATATCAACAACAAACCACGACGTTGTAAATAATAATAAACGACTCACATGTAAAAAGGACGTCGTTTAAAAGAGAAACCATGGCGGATGTTTCACTATCTGACGTAAAATAGATATTCCACGACCTAATCACCGTCGTTAAAAGGTATTAACCTAAACCCTAATGAACGACTTACTTGTTCAAAAGGACGTCGTTTAAAAACGAAACCATGGCGAAATTTTCATCAAAACGACGTCCCATGTACGTCCCATCTTGTCTAAATATCATTTTACGTCGGTTTTTTACATAATTATGTCGTTGGAAAGTTATTACACGTCGGTTACGCAATTTGTTTTTTCTTTTATAATATGAAAACCTCAGCAAATTTTCAGGGAAAAAAAGGATGTATATTATAGACAAAATTTGTACATTATATATTATAGACAAAATTAGTACATAAAAAAATATCAAGTGTTCCAAAAATCCTCTAATCCATATGAAGGCAAACAAACTCTGCCCATTCTTTCCTGACTTCATCAATGGCTGCTTGGGGGTATGGCGCTTGATCTTTTCCCTTGGCAAACTGCAATCCATAAACAATGATTATTAAGCTTTACAAAATAAAAAGAAATTCAGACACAGACGACGTTTTTTTTCATAACCGACGTAGTCTATCGATTCAACGACGGTAATTTTAAATGACCGTCGTTGATAATACAAAAAACCACATAAAATGTTTCTGAAAATTTTATTCTTACCTTCTTCTCAAACTCCAAGGAAGGATCCATGATGATGTCCCTCATGAAGCGCATCACATAATACCCGCATTCGACACTGCTGGGTTGCTTTGGTGTGCCTGGCAGAGTTTTCCAAATTGGTGCTTTACGGCCTGGTCTGCCTATGTGGGAATTATAAATTTTTAAAACACTGTTCACGATGTTTTTGCCCTCCTCATCAACCACACGATTTCCAGGCAGAGGATCCAGAAAATAGACGGTTTCCCTCTTTGCCCTCACAATCAGCAAGACCCAATGACGGCTGCACAAAAATAAAATAAAAAACGACGGTTATTTATAAAAACCGACGTATTATATAGTTTCACACGACGTAATAACTTAATCATCGACGTCATTATAAATTTATCACGACGAGAATTAACTACCGACGTGGTTAGTTGTTTCAAACGACTCAATAAATAAATAACCGACGTGGTTAGATGTTTCAAACGACACAGAATTAGTTAAACAGTTTTATAAGTGAAAATCATACAAACAAAATCCTTTTAAGGAGACTAACCCTGGATTGTAAGGCATCATGAAAATCTGTTCACCATCTGTTTTCTGAAGTCGACTGGCTACAATTCGTGATCTGTCAGTTAGTGACCCAGCGTTGGCACTAACTTGAGCAGGGTCGATAAAGCCAACCATGCTGCACATATTTGCTTCTCTCAAAAGATCATATAAGCACCTAAATATATAAAACAAACGACGGTTATTTATACACAAACGACGTATTATACAATTTAACACGACGAACTGAAATAGAAACAGACGTGATAACTAATTTATCACGACGGTAAAAAAGAACGACGTGGTTAGTGGTTTAAAACGACTCAATAATTAAACAACCGACGTCTTATGATATAATGTTTGATATTTGATTAGGACAAACCTCATATATACTGCAACCACAGTAGCCCCAATTTCTTCCATGCCTGAAAACTGTGTAATATCTTCATGCAAGACGAAGGTACTTCGATCTGCACCAAACACCTCCTTCTCAATGTTGAAGGTCATGATCTTCCCCTGTGGCTTTAGTGTAGTTTCCACATAACCACAAAGGGATTGTAAGGAAGATGGCACCTCCACATTCGAATAATCAACTACTTCATTACCCTGTTTAAAGAAATAAAGCAAAATAAAATGACGTGGTAATTCATTAAAAACGACGGTTTAAATTAAAAAACGTCGTCTTATTATAATTTAAACGACGGTAATTAAATACCGTCGTTTTATATTATTTATTACGTCGTAGAAAATAAATTCCGACGTCTAATGTGAAAACAAACGACGGTTTAAAGAAAAATATCGACGTCTGAAATGTGAAAAACAAATTAAAAAGGCAAAGTTATGAGAATATACCTCCTCGTCATGCTTTTCTTCATCTTGTTTTTCTTCTTTCTTCTCTTCAACATTTGTGTCTTCCTCTTTGCCTTCATCTTTATTCTCTTTTTTTTCTTCCTTCTTCCCTTCATCTTTTTTTTTCTCCCATCTTCTGTTCATCTTTATTTTCTTCTTTCTTCTCTTCATCTTGATTATCTAAAGCCCCAGATTTCTGTTTTAAATAATAAAGAAATATATATATATATATATATAAGACAGATTGTACAGAGTAAAAAAATAAAACCAAAACGTCGTGGTAAGGCATAACATAAGACGGTATGTAAGAATTATGGACGTCTTAAAATTATTAAACGATGGTAAATAATAAAAGTCGTGGTAATTTTATATTACGTCGTTAAGGAAAAAAACCGTCGTCTAAAAGCCAAAAGTACGACGTCTAATGGCGTGTAAAACAAGTAAACTAAATACGACGTGGTATTTAAATAAACACGACGGGGTATTTATAAAATCGTCGTGGTATGGTTTTAAAACGACGGGTTTATTCATAATAACGACGTCTAATGTTTAAAAAAAAACAGAGAATTCAAAGTTCAGATATGTTACCGTTTGTTCCTGCTGTTCCCCATTTCTGGCAGTATCATCCTCTAAATGTAGGGATCTCACTTCAGCCCCAGAACAGCTTGCTTTATCAGACAATGGATTCTTGGGACTTTGCTGTAGACCTTGGTTTTGACAGGGGCTAGTTTTCAGTTTAAGCATGCTTGGATCAAAATTGGTTTTGACACGACGGTTATTTATAAACAAACGACGCAATATATAATTTCACACGACGCACCAATATAGAAATCGACGTGGTTAGTTGTTTAAAACGACGCAATAAATAAACCACCGACGTCTTATGCTGTAATTACAGAAAACAGAGTTGTGATTCCAGATTTAGATCTTTCACGACGTTTTTGAAAACATTTCGACGTAGTAATGACATTAAAACGACGGAAAAAATTAACCACCGACGTCTTATTCTATAATTACAGAAAACAGAGTTGTGATTCCAGATTTAGATCTTTCACGACGTTTTTTAAAATATTTCGACGTAGTAAAATCATTCACACGACGGAAAAATATAACATAAGACGTAATAAGAATTCTACCTAGTTTAATAAAAATTTAAAACAGAGTGTGTAGGCTTACAATTAATTTTGCTTTCTCTGCCACCTTTGGATCCGGGATGTTACCATGTTTGTCCTGCTTAGCTTTCTTCCATAAGGTAGATCGATCAATTTCTACCCCAGGCATGGTTTCCTCCAATTGATCCTCCAAACCAGCATATCCTTTTCGAGACAATCGATGATTGTACTCAAGTTTCTCCCTAATCTGTGCATGTTGAGAATGCACAGACTCAAAGTCTTTGGATAACCTTGAAGCTACAAAGGCATCCCATTCTGCTTTCTCTATGAATTTATATACTTCAGGGGGTTGGCTTAATTTCTCCCTCTCCTTGATGTATGGAAGGATATAATGCCTCGTCAGTGTAGACTTGAAATCCTTCCATTTCTTGGCAGCAGAAGATAACACCGAGGTCTTGCCCCCTTGACCTACCACAAAAGCCATGTCAACGGCTTCCCAAATCTGCTCCTTTATATCATTGGGGATGTCAGCCCATTTCTTGTCCACAAATGGGACTTTGGAGCGTGCCAACACACCAATGTAGGACTGCATCTCAGTATGTGCAGGGCCACATCCTTTCCCCCTTTTATTGTACTCAACAACTGGCTTGATTTTCTGCAATTTTCTCTTCACAACACGAGGCATTGTGCTCATACCTCGACCTGACTTTGAATCCTCAGAAATTGTTGTCGTGCTGCTTGGTTCTTTCTCAGCAGATGAAACAAACTTCATCTTCTTCAAGGGCTTGTCTTGAGGAGTTACCATTCCAAGCTCCTTACCTCCATTTTTTTTGGAGCCAGAGTACTTACTTTGGTCTTGAGAAACCATGGTTACAGAATAAACAAACCTGCAAGTGAAAATATTTCGTGAAAAAAATTAGAACACAAACGACGGTTATTTATAAACTACGACGTATGATAAGATTTTACACGACGTAATAACATAACATCAGACGTAATAAATGATTAAAGAAGAACAATATAAATGTTTAAACAACGACGAAACAATATTAAATAAGACGTAATAAGAACTTATTACGGCGATATTTACACGACGTCGTGATATTCATATTAACACGACGTAAATATTAATATAACGTCGTGTTATGGATATTCACACGACGTGAATAATAAGCTACCGTCGTATTTATAAGAAACCAAAAACATTTTTCTTTCTTTGTGAATGTTTGATTGCAGGGTTGATTTCTCTGAAACATGGTTTTTGTTTTTCCTAATTTGATAAAATACAAAGAAAAAAAGCTTTGGCATCTTTTTATAGACGACGGTATCTTAGTATAACGTCGTGGTATGAACATTCACACGGCGTCAATAATAAGATACCGTCGTCTATATAAGATACCAAACCCTACTTTCTTTGTCTCTGTATTTTATCAAATTAGGAAAAACGAAAACCATGGTTCAGAGAAATCGAACCTGCAACTAAACAAGCAAATAAAAAATTGACCGTCATTTTAAAAACAACTTAGATCAATTTTAAGACGACGCTAGGACGACTGATGAACCGTCGTGGTCTACATATTTAACCACGTAAATAAAAAGCTACCGTCGTCTTATTTAGTTGAATTAGTTATGTTCAAAGTTGAAACTTTCCCTCTCTGTCTGTGTATTTTATCAAACTTGGAAAGAATAAAAATGATTTTCGCCAGAAAAAAGGTAAAAAGGTTTTCAAAACAAAAACAGTATGAGCATGCAAAATAGCAACAAAAATAGTGAGAAATGAAAGCTTACCTTTTGCGTGCAATGAAAGCTTTCTCTCGGATTTTGGTGTTTAAGTTCAGAGGCGACGACGAAGACAAGAGGAAGACGATGAGATACTCTGACAGTGCTCTGACAAGGAAAAAAGACGAAAAGTTTTCTCTGGGAGATTGAAATGTTTTCTCGGGTTTGGAAACAGTGCATGTGTAAGTCAGGTAGACGAAAAGTTGCATATGTATACAAACCGTTTCATAATAATAAGACGGCGGTTTACATAGAACGACGACGTATTAATAGACAAACTACGACGCTAATTTGAACTTATGACGTGGTACATAAATACGACAGTGGTGTTGTAGGTACCGCCGTAGTAAACTCCTAAATAAAAGTCGATAACTCAATATCTTACGTCATGGTAGAAATATTTAACACGACGGTTGTTTTAAAGTTACGACGTTTATTTTCATAATATACCTCGTTTTATTGTAATATACCGACGTGGATAACACTAAACTAAAACGACATATTATTTTTCCACGACGTGGATTCGTTTTTAAACGTCGTTATGTGTAATATAACCGACGTGGATTTTATTTTTTTTATTATAAATATAATTTTTTTGCCCTTTTTCTTATAGTTTATTTTTCAAAAACAGTGCCTTATAGATATAGTTTTTTTTCCCGAGGAAATTAATGTTCTAGAATTTGTAAAGTTTCTTTTCTAGGTGACTGATTTAAATCAAATAAAAATATAAAACAACGACTGTTTTTGTTATACCGTCGTCGTTTATTGTCGTCTTAAGTAAGAATAAAACGACGTGATGTATTTGTTACCGACGAGGATTGTTTTTGTTAAACGTCGTTATGTGTAATATAACCGACGTGGATTTGGTTTTTTAATTATAAATAGGGTTTTTTTCCACGGGTTCTTTCAGTTTTAGTATTCGATTAGGGTTTCAACTTCTTCTTGCCCCTTTCTCTGTCTCACCTCATCTCTTGGGATTGCAAATCTGATTGCAAATCACCAATTTTCAATAAATTGTCTCTCTGATTGCAAATCTGTGGCTGCCGTCGTGAAGTTTTAGGAGGCGATTGTTTGGATGTGAATGTGTATGTGCGTTTGTGTAGATACACAAACGCACATACATCATTCACTTCCAAAAAATTGTCTCTCTGATTGCAAATCTGTGGCTGCCGTCCTGAAATTTTAGGAGGCAATTGTTTGGATGTGAATGTGTGTGTGCGTTTGTGTAGATACACAAACGCACACGCATCATTCACTTCCAAAAAATTGTCTCTCTGATTGCAAATCTGTGGCTGTCGTCGTCAAATTTCAGAAGCAATTTTTTGGATGTTAATGTGTATGTGCGTTTGTGTATCTCAAAGACACAAATACACATACATCATTAACCTCTAAAATATTGTCTTTCTGGTAAGATTATAATGAGCAACAGATCTGGAGTTCCATCTTGTAAGATTTCCTAACCTTTGTGATCTCAGAATAATCTGATTATGTCGGCGGTTTTCTATATAAACCGTCGTGGTTATTTCAATTCTTGTCGTTAGGTAGATCTACCAACGTAGGATAACAAAATCGAAGAAATAAATTGTTAAAAAAAATTCTTATTCAGACGACGGTTTAAATATAATTTATGACGTATAAAGTGGACAAATACGACGTTAAATTCTATAATACGTCGTTATATGAAAACCCCAACTTGGTAAGATTTAAAGATGTCGTCGTAGAAATACGAGAAAGACGTCGTTATATTTACCTTTGCCGTAGTTGTACATTAATTTAATACGGCGGTATTTTGTATTTTACCGCCGTGGATTTATTTGTAATTATACGTCGCCTTATACGAAAACTTGGTCGTGTTAATTTCTGGGT